GTGATTTGCCATGATACAATGCATCGGAAGAGGCAAACGAAGATGAGTACAAATGGGAATCCGAAAATAATAGTAGTGAGGATAACGATAATTATTATTGTAGTTCAGATGAGGATTAATGTAAACTTGTTAAATTGAATGTTATATATATTTATTAAGTATCTTTAAATTTTATTTAATTTGTATGTATAATAAATATTTTTTTTAAATATAAATTGTGCGCCGCCACAATGGAGTCGTTGTGAAAAAACTAATCACACGACGCCATGAAGGGATCGTTGTGCAAAAACCAATAGAGCTACACATAATCGATCTTTGCGCAAAAGCCCATTGTGTGACTACATATAGGGCTTGTCGCACAAACACCCATAGCGATGTCATAATGTGTATAGAAATCGAGCAATTTGTTAAAATTTTGGTGGTCCAATTGGAAAAACAGGGTCTTTTTTTATCATTAGCATCCCTTCCCTTTCTCGTCCTTTCTCTCACTCAGTCTCTCTTCCTTGTCGCTCTTTCCCCTGAATCTAAGTTATGGTTTCACTCTCAATTTCAATCTCTCTCTTCTCTTCTGGACAAAAAAACCCTTTTCTTTTCCAATATTTTCCCAATTCCACTATTAGGTCAAAACAAAAGCCCTAATATTCTAGAACCCTTTTATCTTTCTTGTAACTCCTTTCTCGCCATTTATTCTTCCCATAGCCCTCTCTCCCACCGTCTATTTTTCTCGTAACCTCTCTTAGTCTCTCTTTTCTCCTCCCCGCACAATGGACGGAATCATTATTGGGATTTCTGGTTGCATTCACATGTATATTATGTGTTTAATAGAAGAAATATGTTGCTAGCAAGAAAGCTCGAGAGTCAAAGACACTTCTCCACCATTTTGGTTCGATGCCTTTCTCTAATAGGGTTGAGGCGCGATGTCAGGTAAAAGTATGCTGATTCTCAATTTTATTCAATTTACTTTTTATTATGATTAATAACATTTTTTTTTTCTTCAAGAGGGTTCTAAGCTCCTAGAGCTCGACATGTTCAAGGAAGTTTATGTTCAACCTGATGAAGAGATCGTTAAGCAGCTCCATGTATGCGTATGTAATTGTTATTATTCTTATATTTATGAATCGTTCAAATATTAATTACATTTTTTATTAATATTAAATGTTTTTCTTATTATTACAAGCTCTTCTCCAACAAGCAGCATCGCAGCTTCCCCTGGAGACCCCGATCGAGGACGTCACTGTACCCTAGGACACAGGTCTTCAAATCCTGACTGAGACCCTGGATCAGACGCTTGGTCATCGTCATGGCAAGGTTGTTCGGGGATGGGGAAGGTGCTAGTTCGGGAGACGGGTGCCTCCTTTTTCAGACCGACCGTGAGACAGGTCATTGCCTTGACGGAGGAAGTGGCAACCCTGAAAAATAAGATTATGGCCCAAAAAGCCCAGATTACAGCTCAAGAAACCCAGATTGCAACCCAGGACAAGAAGATGAGCATGATCTTACAGGCCTTCCAGCTGTCTGGCCTTAAAATCTTGATGCCAACACCTTATCTTGCTCCACTTTCAACCTCCCAGCCGCTTCACCCAGCTGATACCCAGTAGCCTGATGCATTAAGCCTGGACAACTATTTGTTGTAGTTTTTTTTTCTATTCGGACAGCTTGTATGTACATTTTCACATATTTAATAATTAAATACTTTTCTTGGTTTATTAATTATTGTTTATAAATTAATTAAAATATTTATAAAATTAAATAAAAAAATATATTGTAAAAAAAAAAATTAAAAATAACAATAACTTTGTATGACGACGGCACAAGCTATGTTGCGCAAAAGGGCTTTGCGCGACAACAATAACCTATATCACACACCTATCTTTGTGCGACAATGAGAGTAAGCTATGTCACATAACACATTTCGTGCAACACAATTATTGTTGGTGCGCAAAGCGCTTTTGCACAACGTAACTTATGGTGTCGTCGCGCAAGCCCTTCTTTCACGATCTTTGTGCAACGGGCTTTGCGCGATGAAGGTTTCGTCATGCTTGGCGACATTTTTTTTCTTTGCGCAACGAACTATATTTTGTTGCGCTTAGTGTTAACCCATTCCAATGACCCGCCTCACACAAAACCAAACCATTGAACGGCCCGAATCTCTTTCTTTAAACGGTCTGGATTTCCAGATCCATTTGTTCTAGACACAAAAATCGAAAAAGAATTTTAATTTGTTGCCCACAGTGAGTCACAAGACTCACAACTCATACAACGATGGTGGGTGCACAATTAATTAAATTAGCTATAAAAAGTTCAACTTACATACCATTTGTGAGTCTTCCTAGTCCCTCAAAACGGTGGACTACCATAACAAAGTCAACATTTGGTCTACTTTTTAAAAAGAAGAAGAAGTACAAGATTATCAACAATCATCTTACGTTGAATTCATTTATTACATAGCCTGAAATGACTTCACTAGAATAAAAACTGGAGGTCTGATAGCACTCTCAATGGTAAAAACTAGAAACACAAGAGCTTTGTAAACAAGTTTGCACAATTTTGTGCCTCCCCATTCCTCTATACTTTTGAGTCCGTATCCAATACTATAGCAAATATACAAAACTCTTTTTTTTTTTTTTTTTTTTAAACAAAACGAAATTGACCGAAGTATCACTTGTTCTCTGCTTTCTCTCTCAAAACGAAATTTTGAGGTAATTGTAGTAATGGTTTCTCAACTTTAATCCAATTGGAGTAATGGTTCCGCAACTAAAAATCTATGACTATTGATCCCTTAACTAATCAAAACATGCAGCTATGATCCTTTTTGTCAATTCCGTTAGAACTTCTGTCAAAATGAGTCACGTACCATACACGTGAGGCTGAATAAAGGGGTTAATATGAAAAACCTAATTAGAAAAAATTGTAGCAAAGGTCCCTCAACTTTAACCAAATTGGAGAAATGGTCCCTCAATTTTAACCCAATTGGAGCATTGTTCCTCAACTTTAACTAAATTGTAGTAATGGTCATTCCAACATAACTCATTTTGTTTGAGTTCTGATGAAGTGGACAAAAATGATCATAACTGCACGTTTTTTATGAGTTAAGAAACCAATGATCAAGGATTTAGTTGAATGACCATTGCTCCATTTGGGTTAAAATTGAGGAAGGATTGCTATAATTTTTTCAAAACCTTTTAATCTTCATGGGTTATTTTTTGGAGCTTTAATTTGCTACACAATTATATATTGTTAATTCAATAATTGGTCTAACAGTTCTCTACTGTTGGTTAAAAATTGTTTATTTACTCTCTTTTTTATTTGTTCATCTTTTTTCCCTTAAATATTCGCACTGAAGATAAAACATACACTTGGAAAGCAAAAATAATATGAATAGCCACCCTAGTTGGGTTTTAACTGTTTCATCCGCTTTTGGCGCTCCCTCATCTTAATCAATGTGTTGTTTGTGTGTTTGACTTGAGCAAAGTCACGCGCGAGAGGTCTTTGTTTCAATTAGAAATGTATGTGTTGAATTAATATTTTAAATGATCTATTAGTTGCATAGCCGTTTGGATAGGCTTTTCTCTGTTTAGCAGTTTACAGCGTTCTGTCTCTGATTTGTTTGGATGACATTTATAGCTGGAACTGGAAGCAAGCAAATTTCTGAAATATAAATTCGTTAACTATTTGGGAGTCATATTTTGAATTACGATGCCCGCTACACATTCTCATGGAAATTTATTAACAAACGAGAAATGATAAAGAGACCAGACCTTACTTATGGCTTGAGTGTAGTAAGTCAAGACATGCATTTCAAGTCAATACACACAAAACAAATCCTATTGAAGTTGATTGATTATTCATCAAGGAAAAATTGAAAGGGAAAATAATTGAGAGCTGCAATAAGACAGAAGATCAGTTGGAAAATATTCTCAAAAAGGCTATTTCAAGTCATAAGTTTTTAAGTTTCTTAGACAAGTTGAGCATGTGCAACATATATGCACCAACTTGTAGGAGAGTGTTAACTTTTGTATATATTCTTGTGATCTCGGAATTCTTAGTTTAATGTAATTTCATGTAAATTAATTATTTCCTTATTGTTATGATTGTATCATCTTATAAATTCCTCCTTGACAGATGAATAGAGATACAATACTTTCCAAAGAGCATTCTCTTTTGCATCTTTCGGTTTTAAAGCATTGGTGTTGGATTACTGAACTTCCGTTGATCATTGCTACATAGTTTTGACATTCTACTGAACGCGTTCTGCAATCTGATGAAGTTATTTAGTGTTGTATGATTGTACAGACTACTGTTCGATTACTAGTAGCGTACTAGTATTGCGTATGTAAATATGCATCTGCAATTGCAATTAATCTAACCTAAACACGAATATTATTTTGTAAGTCCTTTGGGCCAGTAAAAAAAACAGGTATCAAATGCGCTTGATTGTCAATATATTATTTTAATGGCGATAATTTATTAAGCTTTTATATATAATAGCTTGTGTTAATTAGTAGTGGAACACACACTCAGTCAACCATTTGACCTATTTACAAGGATAAGGCGATTTAGGAGGTAAGCACTATCCCGACATCAATGGATAATATGATGTAATTCAGAAACACCATATGTATATCTGTGTGTATATTCATGAAGTTAAACTAGATAAATAGATATAAGTCTAGATAAATAGACGTGGCAGTACAATAGACATGCCAAATTTTTTTGCATGTAAGGGATAATGTAGTCAATAAACAGCATATCTTTTTTAGGCGAATAAATAGTGCATTGGTTAGTATTTATCAACTTAATAAAATATTAAACAATTTGTGTTTATGTCAGTAATACTAATACCATTTAGATGCATTAAAGAAGAAGATCCATCTGTTTCTCTCCCCTCATTTTTCATAGATTGTATTGAACAAACTTTGGGATTATTTGTTAGAACAGAAGAACACTAAAGAATTGTTTGGAACTGAGTGAGAGTTGCAGCATAATTGCATTTTAATTTTATGGGTGAAAACATTGCCACAAGGAACCAGCTGCAGCTTCACCACAGCCCAGCTTTTGATGTCTCACTCGACGTGCAAGGAGGCTCCAAAATCGTCGATGAAGATGGCGGCCCCAAAAGAACCGGTAAGTTATACTTCTCTTCTTGAAAATGCTAAGTAAAATGCATGCACTTTGACTTGCACGTTCATTTGTTATTCATTTTTTTTTGTGTTGTTTGTGGTACAAGGAACTCTCTGGACGGCAAGTTCACACATAATTACTGCTGTGATTGGGTCTGGAGTTCTGTCCTTGACTTGGGCCATAGCTCAGCTTGGATGGATTGCTGGTCCTGTTGTGATGGTCATGTTCTCCTTCATCACGTACTACGCTTCAACTCTTCTTGTTTCCTGCTATCGTGATCCCGTCACTGGAAAGAGAAGCCGCACTTACTCGGATGCTGTTCGATCCCACCTTGGTGAATTTTGCCTAATACTTTTAATTTTTTTTGACATAAGAAATAAGGATATTTTTTGTTTTTTTTTTTTCCAAAGGTATATAACCCAATTTTTTTTTTTTTTTTTTGTGTTAATTTGAATTTCTCAGGTAAAGTTCAGGTCAAAATGTGTGGATTTATTCAGCAATTGAACCTTTTTGGAACTACTATTGGCTATACTGTAACAGCAGCTATAAGCATGGTGTAAGTCTTGAGTGTTTAAACTCAATTAAGAAATTGGTGATGTTTGATCACATTTTTTTTTTTAATTTTATTATTATTATTAGGGAGAGAGGAAGGATTTGAAATTGTCACATTAATTTAGGAGAGAGAGTTTTGAACCTCGGTTGCATATGTAAAAATTCAACACCTTATCCACTAAGATATTGGACCACGTGCAAATATTTGATTACATTATATTTTTTGTGTTGATTAACAGGGCAATAAAAAGGTCTACTTGCATCCACAATAGTGGTGGAAAAGATCCATGCCTTACCAGCAGCAATCCCTATATGCTGGCTTTTGGAATCTCAGAAATTATATTGTCTCAAATTCCGAACTTTGATAAGTTGTCTTGGCTCTCCATTGTTGCTGCATTCATGTCCTTCACTTACTCAGGAATTGGACTAGCCCTTGGAATTGCAAAAGTTGCTGGTACACATATCTATTACTGCTATGTTGAATGGAGAAATGTTTTCTCCGATGACCAAGAATGCATGGTCACTCGCTATTATAATTGATATCAATAATGGAGATTAATACATTAATTAAAGTCACATTTATTTATTCTGCACGCCTGATCTCAAATTCAAAGGTAGGTTACCATAAATTCTGGATCACCAAATGATTAAAAGAACAAGAATCAAATGTCAAATGATGCATTAAAATTTGAATTTGGTTTTCAAGATTAAAATGGTTCTGGTAAACTAATTTAGTTCTATCTTTTTTTGTGTGGATATACCAGAAAATGGAAAAATCAAGGGAAGCATGTTCGGAATGAGCATTGGGGTTGTGACTCCAGCCCAAAAGATGTGGAGGACCTTCCAAGCACTTGGTGACATAGCTTTTGCCTTCTCTTACTCAATCATCCTCATTGAAATTCAGGTTTATATCTTCTTCAAGTTAAAATTAACAATGTTTATACTTTTCGCAACAATTTTATGTACTTAATCAACCATATAAATGTAACAGGACACAGTTAAATCCCCACCATCTGAAACCAAAACAATGAAGAAGGCCACTCAACTTAGTTTGGCAGTGACATCCATTTTCTACATTCTATGCGGCTGCATGGGCTACGCTGCTTTTGGAGACTTAGCTCCGGGAAACCTCCTTACTGACAAAGGCTTATCCAGCCCATTTTGGCTCATCGACATAGCCAACGCCGCCATTGTGATCCACCTTGTTGGTGCATACCAAGTTTTCGCCCAACCCATTTTCGCATTGGTCGAAAAAACAGCAGCAAAAATTTTTCCAGCCAGCCAGTTCATCACAAAAGACATCAAAATAACAATCCCGCATTTAGGTTCCTACAACCTTAACCTCTTCAGTTTGGTTTGGAGAACATTATTTGTGATTCTAACCACTGTGATCTCCATGATCCTCCCATTCTTCAACAATGTGGTTGGATTTCTCGGGGCTTTGGGGTATTGGCCACTCACAGTTTATTTCCCCGTGGAGATGTACATTGCTCAAAAGAAGATACAAAAGTGGAGCATGAGATGGATTTGCCTCGAAATCCTCAGTTTTTGTGTCCTTGTAATCGCCCTATGTGCTGCAGGTGGTTCAGTTACTGGTGTGGTTCATGATCTCAAGGTCTACAAGCCCTTCAAAACCAGTAGTTAATTTAGGATCAGCAAATTTTAATTTACTCGTACTGTCACCGTCAAGTATTTTCCAATTCAAAAGACAGCTTGTAGAACCCTAATTTCTTGGTGCAACATTTCTAGGTCCAGCTGAATTCAGTGTCATCAATCATGTTGCCTTCTTGTACATGTCCTTAAAACATAAGCAGCTAATGCGTAACGGTGTGATTTCTTATGCTTCTATTTTGTAATGTGTGTTGTTAAGAAGCAAAGGTACGTTGCATCTTTCAGTTTTAAAGAAAAATGTATCATTTGCGGAACAGCCATTCATCATAGCTGCAAAGTTTTTGCATTCTACCAGAAGTTTTTTGCATTCAAATGAAGTTGTTTTTGTGTTACGTGATTGTACAGTTGAGTTCTAGATCACTCGCCTGTAAACTGTTTTGATACGTGTGGTGGCACAGTTCAGCTATCTTCAATCTTGACGAAATTGTAGACCTGGCAATTTCTTACATCATCCGTTAACACGACACGAAAATAACAGGTTTCGGGTCAACATGATAACTAATTGGGTCATTATCAGGTCACACGATAAGAATCCGTTAATAAAAGATCTTTAACAGGTTTACACGAAGTGACATGTGAGTAATCTGTTTCAACACGATAAGAAAAATGTTATTTTGATGATTTTAATTTTTTAAACTACTATAAAAACTTACTATAGAATACAATAGATAGAGTGGATATGTATATATTGTTTATTAATTATTATTGTATATAAACTTTTTAAATTTAAGTGTTATTTATTTATTTATTTTTATAGTATACTATAGGAAAAGGCAAAGGGTGAGAATAAGAAATTATAAAACACATTAAAAATAAAAATATCAAGTAATATAAAAATACCAAACACATTAAAAAGTTATTATAATTAATTTACAAGTGCGAAAAATGTGAAAAAAATATGCAAATACTCGTAATTGCATCCTCTACACTTTGAGGATGGATATATTGTCACTTGAATTTTTAAAACCATACAAACCCTCATGAATAGTTTTTGTAAGGGAGTTCAAAATTGTAACATTCCACATCGCCTAGGGGAGTAAATCCTATAAGCCTTATATGTATATTCCCATCTCTACCTAGCATGAGGCCTTTTGGGAGTTCACTAGCTTTGGGTTCCATCGGAACTCCAAAGTTAAGCGAGTTCACGTGAGAGCAATCCCATGATGGGTGACCCATTGGGAAGTTCTCGTGTGAGTTCCCAAAAACAAAACTGTAAGGGTGTGGTAGGGGCCCAAAACGGACAATATTGTGCTATGGTGAAGTCAAGCTCTGGATGTGGTGGGGGCCCAAGCCGGGATGTGACAATTTGGTATTAGAGCCAATCCCTGGCCGGAAGTGTGCCGACGAGGATGTCAGGCGCCTAAGGGGGGTGGATTGTAACTTCCCACATTGCCCAGGGGAGTGGATCCTATAAGCCTTATATGTATGTTCCCATTTCTACCTAGCATGAGGCCTTGGTTTCGGGTTCCATCAAAACTCTGAAGTTAAGCGAGTTTGCGCGAGAGCAATCCCATGATGGGTGACCCATTAGGAAGTTCTTGTGTGAGTTCCCAGAAACAAAACCGTGAGGGTGTGGTAGGGGCCCAAAGTGGACAATATTGTGCTACGGTGGAGTCGAGCCCGGGATGTGGTAGGGTCCTGGGCCAGGATGTGACAAAAATAAATAAAATTCATAATCATTAATGTATAAGTCCGAAAAATGGGAAAGCATATATAAACGCTCGTGATTGCATCCTCTACGCTTAGGCGATAGTTACATGGTCGTTTATATTTTTAAAACCCTCCACATATCATGAATAGTTTTTTTTTTATTTTTTTATTTGAGTGCAAAATTAATAATAATTATTGTAGAAGTGTGAAAATGTAAAAAAACAAAAAAAAAAAAAAACAAAAAAAAATATACAATCACTCGTAATGACAAGCTTTACAACTTTTGTGAAGGAGTAAAAAAAAACAAAAAAATAAAAAAAAACGTATACAATCACTCGTAATGACAAGCTTTACAACTTTCGTGAAGGAGTCAACTCCTAAATCTAAACCTTAGATTTAAATTTAACTATCCATTATCATTTACATTTTATTCTACTCACCGAATTTCATTTTTTAGATTTTCTTTTTTGGAAAGTGATCTTTTAGCGGAGGTAGAAAAATGAATGGTTCGGATTGTTAATATGATATTTCGATATTTACGGTTAACTAAAACATGAGTTGATGTTATATAGTTTCTAGAGACTTTATAAACTTCAAACTATATTTTCACTAATGGTAAAACTTTGAACATAATATCAACAATTTGAACTGTTCATCTTCCTGCATCCTCTAAGAGATCGTGTTTTCAAACAAGAAAATCCAAAAAAAAAAAAAAAAAATTTGGTGAGAAGAATGGAGCGTAAATATAAACGACAATCAATGGTTAAATTTAGATCTTTAGTTTATGGATTATGGAAAACCTTTAGGGAAAACATCATCAATATAACTCTTGAAGATAATATATCAAGCTAAAGTTCCAATACCATTTCCCTTGGTGATTGATGAAAATTGAAGGGTTTTATTGTAAAAAAACGTGCAATGTTCCTCAACCTTGAAACGCAACTCTCTTCGTTTTGCATATCTTTGAATATTTGTATTTTGTAGTATGCACTAATGGTTTTTCATTAGGCTCTAATTTTGGGGAATGTAAACTTGAAAGACAAATGTTTATTTTATTTTATTTTATGTTTTGAAGTGATATTTATGCAACAATGTGGTATGTATATACTAATTTAATATTATAATTTACATTTTTTTGGGTCAAATTATGTTTTTCACTTTCATTATTTATTGATTTAAATATATTTTTTCTTAACGGGTAACGGGTCGGGTCATATTACTTGATAATATTAATGGGTCGATTTCGGGTCAGGTCATATTACCTGTTTATTTTAATGGGTCGTACGCGACATGACCCGTTAAGCTATCGGTTATGACACGAAAATGACACGAACGCGAGAAACACGACATGAATGCCAGGTCTACGAAATTGTACCTACAAAACAAATAAACACCTTTAATCAAACCACACGCGCCCATAAGGAGATGTAGGCGGGCCCTAGGATGAGTCGACCACATGTGTAGGGTTTTGCATTGACATCAGGGGATTATGTTGGAAATATCATTAATTGGATATGATTGTGATTCCTTACCTGTTTGAGTTGATCTTCAATTAGGAGAGTATTAAAGATAGAACTCAGTAATTAATCCTATCTTTAATGCCTTTGACTTTTCTCCTTACCATGGGCAAGGGAGCTTGATGATGTTGTAATCGGCTGCTCAGGCCTTCAAGGATGTTGGACTACACATGGAAAATCTTGTGGACTTCGTCAAATTAGTAAAGGCAATCTTGTCTTCTTTGTGAAAAAAAACCCATAAGTTAGCTTCAATGTTTTTCGAATTATTTTTTTCTCCACAAATGCCCCAACACCTATTGGGTTGCTCGCAGAAAACGGCAAAAGGTGTGGAAATCCCAAGTTGAGTGGATGAGCCAAAAGTTGTTTCCTGATTGGCTTCAGATTTTGATCTTTGACTTGAATTTAAAGTCTTTAAGGAAAGGGAAACCAATTGCATCTAGAACTTATTTAAGTGTACCTTAAGTGGAGGATTAAATTAATTCAAAGAACAATTGTTCTCCTCAGAAGAAAGAGAGAAAACAAAAGGAAATTGTAGCCCTCCCTTAGTTTTCTTCTTTACTTGCCATCTTAAATAGTTGATTGTTGTCATCTTCTTCTCCATTTTACACCAAAGATAAGAAATCTAGAGACACGGGCTGCTAGCGTGTCTTGGCACGGAGCTGAGGAGATGGGTGGCGTGGCTATAAGCCACGATGCTTAAAGAAAATGGCTCGACTGGCACTGAAGATGAAGACAAGGCAAGTTGGGCTCGGTGTGTGGCTGGATTGGGACAATTGCTAGGCTAAATCAGCCCGAGGACTGCAGGTTGATGTGCTAGGCTTGGCGCGGTGTTAGACCTGGTTGAGGCAAGTTGGGTTTGTTGACTTGACTAAAAAATAGTGAAAGAGAGAGACTGAGGCTCTGCCTCTCGGTTGACTGGAGTGGGCTGGGCCTAGCATTAGGCTCGACCATATTAGAGGAAGTGGGTTGTAGGGCTTGTCTCGCTAGGAGGAGAGAGGAATAATAGATCGGGGGCTTAACCATTGGAAATGGAAAAAGAGATTGCAGGTATTTTATTAACTTAGGCCGAAAGAGAGAAGGAGAATGGAGGTCCGGCAGGGCTTCTACTAATTTGGGCTAAGGCGCGAAGAGCTACAAGCTAAACCCCTCGCCTCGACAGTAGGGTGCTGGATTGTGGTCTGGTGCCTCTTGCTCCTTGTTGTCCATGTTTTTTGTTTCTTCTCTTATTTGAATCGTCTTCTGAATATTGTTCTTGTGCTTTTTCATGCATGAGTTCATCAATATACCTCTGTCTAACCGTACAAATATCATCCGTCCTTGTACCGCCAATAGGGTTTTTTAGTACCGTTCGCTACTCTAAGGCCACTTGTGTTAAGATTTGATTCAATGAGCCATTTTGAGAGTTCTTTGAGACATAAAAACATGCGGTCCAACCTCGAGTCTGTGTGAAGCAAGTGAAGGAAGGGACATCCATAAACCATGTAGTGAGGCTGGTAGAGTAGAAAAGAGAGCCATTGAGTTCAACTTTTACTACTTTGTGCTGGGGTTCACCTTTCCCATGTCGTGCTTCTTTAAGGAGGTGATTTGAACCATAAAGTGCCCTTCTGCTCAATGCTTTCCAAATGCTATCCCGACTTCTTTTTTTATGGTTGATTAGCTGCTTCGTTCTTGACCTGCCTTTGTATTTTTGTTGAGTTGCTCTTGACTTCAAGTTATTGAATGTCTTCCTTTCTTTGTACAGATTCGAAATCTGGCTCAAGTCCAAAGACTATGTCAGACATAAAGAAAGTGCATATCGCCCTAGGCA